TACAATGGCAAAGCCACAAAAGAGAATGACTTCCCCACTCCTACTTTAGTCCAAGCCTTCAGGGTATTCTTTCAATGGTCAATAAAGTAGCAACATTCTTATCAAATTTGGCCCAAGCTTCTGAAAGTTTAAGGCAACTATTCAGGAAAACACAAGAATAGTGTTGAAATACACACCAGAAACAGACAATTAAAGTACAACAAAATGCTAATGTCAACAGTTATGCTTAATCACTACAGCCCCTCATTACCAACTATAATCACAGAAGATGCCTCAGCCACTAGTTTGGAGGCAGTCCTTTTACAAGAATGGACAAGTTGAAGCTGAAGGTCTATCTATCATGTGGCCTAAGCACTATCAGATATTAAGATAAGATAGGCATTTCTGCAGAAAGAAGCTGACGTTTTTCCAGCCACCGTCAGTTCTGAGGAAGGGTTACCAGACCCAAAACGTTAACTCTGTTTTCTCTTTCACAGATGCTGCCAGACCTGCTGAGCTTTTCCAGCAACTTTGTTTTTGCTACAGAAAGAAGCTCTTGCTGTCATATGAAGTTGTGAAAAGTTCTCAGACTATGTAATTGGTCTTATAGCAGTCATAGACACACATCACATACACTTAATTTCATTAAAATAAAACAAAGAACTGTGGACGCTGGAAATCTGAAACCAAATCAGAAATTGCTGGAGAAAATATATATCTTTGGTTGTGGGGTTGGATTGTATGTGGTGGAGAATGATACATTGGATATGGAGGTTAGTGGGGTGATATGTGAGGATGGGGGGATTCTGTTTTTGTCTTTGTTTTTGTTGGGGGGAGGGGATGTGAGGGCAGAGGTCCCCGTTATCAGCTTTTCTTTCTCTCTGGCACGCTATCATCCATTCCATCGTCTGCCATTCTTTCTCTCTAGGCTCCATCTCTGCCTATCTGCTCATTGCTTCTCCTACCCCCACCCCTTGTCTTCAGCTTATATACCACCTTTTCCTAGCTACTATCAGTTCTGAAGGGTCACTCAACTCAAAATGTTAACTCTGCTTTCTCTCCACAGATGCTGCCAGGCCAACTACGTTTCTCCAGCAACTTCTATTTTTGCCCTTAGTTTCATTACTAGATGAAAGAACGTTACCAAGAGCCCAGATATTCCACCTGAGTTTAAGAAGATTTGCTTATGAAATATGTATAGGGTAAAATACAAATAACGGCAGATACATTGTCCAGAGCAACTATGGGTAGACCCACACAGCAAGGAGTGAATTTTATTGACAAAATCGAATCATACTCTCAGAATATTGCAGCACATTGGCTTGCAAACACTAACAAACTCAGAGAACTTTGTCATGCACAGATACAAGAGGAAGATTCCACCCAAATTCACCAACTCTACATTCAAGTTTGTCCAGAACAAAATCTATTGGAATAGTCAGGAGAATGTTCTTCTATTAGGCAGACATCATAGAAAAATTACATAAAGACTTACATAGGTATAATGAAATGCAGAGTTCATGCTCAGTTCGGTGGCTGGGAAATGATTTTAAGTTGTGAACTATGTGCAATGTGTTGATTGGAATGAAGAAACCACTACTAATGTCCAAATTTCCAAACAGACCATGGGAATGTCTAGGAAAAACTTTATTTTCCATAAGTGACAAGTCATACTTATTGTCATGTATTATTTTTCTGGAATACATTGAAGTTTAACAGTTATGTATGTTGACTACCAAAAATAGTTGTTAGAGCCTTGGACGAAAAATTGCAACTGATGGATATCAATCCAAGTTGTAGACAATGGCCTACAATTTGTGAATGAATATTTCACTAATTTCATAACAAAAAAAATGAACTTCAACACCTTACAAATTCTCTCAGGTATCCTCAATCTAACGAAGCAGAATAAGGAGTCACAATGATCAAATCACCACTGAAGATAAAAACAAATTTCCAAGCAGCACTCTTAGATTGCAGAGTGACTTTGATTATCTGGATTAGCACCATAAGAGTTACTGACAGGAAAGAAACTCAAAATACCATTTCCTATACTCCCAAAACTAAATATCTAGGATTATCAAAGAGTGTAAGACAGGGAAAAAACTTTGAGAACACAATAAGCAAAAAACTAAAGGAGGAACTATTTACTAAGAACCTATCAAAACTAAATGAAGGCCAAAGAGTATGAAGCAAAGATCAAAACAGAGAATGGATAACTATCCAGAGAGATGTAAATCAACATAGATCTTATCAAAATGTATTATAAGAAGAAATGAGAAACCTTTTTCCAAAATATTGAAGACAGCAAACATTCAGCTATTTGGATGAACCAAGTGGTGAAACTAAAAAAAACCAGGAACTAGAAAACAGTAAATTACAGGCTTCAATCACCAGGAAGTGGCCTTGCCTGCTGCATGCCACCTTTAACCAATCATGAATCTGAAGATACACATTTCTCATCTGCTACATACTTAATTCCAGGGTACAATTTAATTGGGCAGAGTTAATGAAACGCATGATAAATCTACTAGAATGTAGCTCCCACTGCCTACCATTGGGAAGCATGCTCTGCCCTCAATCTACTGCTAACTTAATAACCAACTTTCATCCCACCATTTGGAAGCTGACATTTTGTCTACTACTCAATTAAGTTCTCCTGCCTGCTTCATTTGCTGCTTCTGGGAGTTCTGCAAGATTCTGCACGTTATCTGCAATTGCTTTATTTCTTCCCTTATATCTAGAGTGCATACAGTTTTCTCCAGTAGCAAAAACGATCAGCTATCAACAATAGTTGTAAAAGTCCATTGAGCTGGAGGGTATTGACAAAATGTGGCTGTACAAATGTTTAGACAGAGAGAGAGAGAGAGAGATGATGTAATGTGGTTGCAGCTCAAAAGGAGCATAAATACTAGCACAGACCTCTGGAGCCAGGCTGCTTTGAATCTGTAAGGTCCGACGTAAAAGGCAAAACTTGGAGAAATCAATGCACACCTGTTTAAATAAAATTATTTTTATTTCACAATTTCATGTTGGTTTTGTTTTAGTTTTAGTTATTACAGATGTATTTGACGGTAAGATAATACATATCCATGTGTTAAGCCCATTGAACTTACTCAAAGCAAAAACTGACTGTGGTGCACGGCTTTTATTTGACTCTCCCAAAGGAATATTTCAAAAGATTGTCATATGCCTCAATAATGATATGACAAAGCCTATTTTGTCTTTAATTTTAATTACTTTAATTTCCCTTTTCACTTACTTTCTGTGGCTAAGTGAATAGACTTGTAATCTCCTCCTCAGGCTGAGCTAGCTCTGCTCTATAACCAGTTGCCACAGATATCAGAGTGTGGATGGTCAAATCAATGACTTCAGCTCCTGTCTTTGTGAGTCAGTGCTGCGTTCTGCTTGGTAGCTTCCTCATATGGCACGTTTAAGATGAGAAAATTGCAAAGCACTGTAATCCATGAGTCTGTGATGTGACTTGTTTTCATTCCAGTTCCTTCACTGCCTCAGTCTAATTGCTGTTTTAAAATCGATTAGTAACCAAGTAACTAATAAATTCTGAGATAACACAGTGTGGAGCTGGAGGAACACAGCAGTTCAGGCAGCATCAGAGGAGCAGGAAAGTTGATGTTTCGAGTCAGGACCTTTCTTCAGAAATAGGGGAGGGGAAAGGGAGCTCAGAAATAAATTGAGAGAGGAGGGGTGGGCCTGGGGAAGGTAGGTGGAATGGTGATAGGTGTGTGCAGGTAGGCAGTGGTGGGGATTGGTCAGTGAGGTGGGAGAGAAGATGGACAGGTTGTAACAAGTCAAGAAGGCGGGGATGAGAGAGAGGTTTGGTCATGGGATGAGGAGATTTTGAAACTAGTAAAATCCACATTTAGGCCATTGGTGACCGCCTCGAAACAGACATCGATTTCGAGCCCACCAACTCCCACAGCTACCTAGACTACACTTCCTCTCACCCAACTTCCTGCAAAAATGCGATCCCCTACTCCCAATTCCTCCTTCTCTGCCGCGTCTGGTCCCATGATGGGGTGTTCCACTCCCGAACATCCCAGATGTCCTCTTATTTCAAGGACCACAACTTTCCCCCTTCGGTGTTCGAAAATGCTCTCGACTGCATCTCTTGCGTTTCCCACATCTCTGCCCTCACATCCCCTCCCACCAACAAAAACAAAGACAAAAACAGAATCCCCCCATCCTCACATATCACCCCTCTAACCTCCATATCCAATGTATCATTCTCCACCACATGCAATCCAACCCCACAACCAAAGATATATATTTTCCTCCCCAACCCTATCTGCCTTTTGTAGGGACTGCTCTTTCCATGACTCCCTCGTCTGCTCCACACTCCTCAATAACCCCACCACCCCTGGCACCATTCCCTAAAACTGCAGGAAATGCTACCCTGCCCCTACACCTCCCCCCTCACCTCCATCCAAGACACCAAACAAACCTTTCACATCAGACAGAGGTTCAACTGCACATCCGTCAATGTGGTCTTTGTATCCGCTACTCCTGATGTGGCCTCCTCTATATTGGTGAGACCAAGCGGAGGCTCAGAGGCTCGGTTCATGACAAATGACACCTTCCTTTCGCGAACCATTTCAACTCCCCCTCCCACTCTGTGGGCAACATGTCCATTCTGGGCTCCTCCAGTGTCACAATGATGTCACCCAGAAACTGGAGAAGCACCTCATATTCCACTTTGGTAGCCTACAGCCCAATGGCCTAAATGTGGATTTTACCAGTTTCAAAATCTTCTCATCCCCGCCTTCTTGACCTCACACAACCTGTCCATCTTCTCTCCCACCTATCCACCCCACCCACTTCACTGACCAATCCCCAACACTGCCTACCTGCACAAACCTATCACCATCCCACCTATCTTTCCCAGCCCCACCCCTTCTCTCTCTATTTATTTCTGAGCTCCATTCCTCCTCCCCCATTTCTGAAGAAGGGTCCCGACCCAAAATGTCAACTTTCTTGCTCCTCTGATGCTGCCTGGCCTGCTGTGTTCCTCCAGCTCCACATTGTGTTATCTCTGACTCCAGCATTGGCAGTTCTTACTATCTATAACTAATAAATTCTGTTTTGGGATCATTCTTCTTCTGCTGTCAAATGTAAGTAGGTATACAATAAATTTTTCATAAATATTGGTTCAGAATTGAAATCAAACCTTTCATAAGATGCAAGTGGCTGAGAATAAAATACTGAAATGTATTCTTAAATAAATTTATTCAGCTTTGTTATATGACTATTTAAAAAAATGTGTGCCTCAAAACTAGTTACTATCTCATACAGTTTTGCAAATATGAATTAAAGGGATCTCTATGTTTACATTGCTGAGTCCATCCACAGTTGATGGCTGAGTATTATTGGATAAGTTTTTGCAAATATTGACTGATTAAATGTTTTGAATATTTAATTAGTTGTTATGGTAGACTCTTAAGTAGGGTCTTAAGTTTTAGCAGTAAATCCTTAGGTTAGTTTAAAATAGGAATATTTGGAAATCACAAGATTGCATTTCATGCAAGTAAAAAGGTTGTGTAGGGCAGTAGTTTACATTGTTGATTTCTTTCGTTCCAGTTCTGTTGCAATATAAAGGAAGTGGTCCCTTTTTTGAGTTACCTTCTGAGATGTCCTGCTACTGATGTCAAAATGTTTATTCATGGTCAGAAAGCACAGTAATTACCTTCCCATTTGAACTGTAAGATTTGCATTTGCAAATATATTCTTAACGTATTCTGCTTTCAGGTGAATTTTTTTTTGTCCAATGAGGACAAAGGTAGAAGGTAAAAGTGGCTGTCCATCTGCTTAAGTAAAGCAATGGTCTTCTCTTACTTGTTGTGATAAAACATAAATAAGTCATCTCTACAGCAGCTGAATGGTAACGAAATAAGATCCAATTCAAATCCTATCCCCACTCCTTATATTTGGTATTTTATTTGTGAATACAATAGGGGAATTTTTTCTATTTCACTGTAAACTAGACACAGAAGATTCAGTAGAAATATTCCTGAAAACTGGAAAGCTGTGTAAGTCTGTTACTATGCAGAATGGTAAATACTTTTTAAACACGAGTGTTTACATATAGATTTCCTTATACTGACGTAAGTATTTAAGGAAAATAAAACTAAAAAAAAATTGGGCTCATATGAATTTTGCAATATATTTTCTTGCTTATTTCACTTTCCATAAACAATAATTGTTATTGAATAATAGATATTCTTTAAAGAATAAAGTTTTGGGCTAACTTCAAATTAAAAGTTAAGGTGGGCTGAAGATTTAAGTTCCAATGCCCAGTGTGAGGAAATGATGTTTGGGAAGCTCGGTTATTAACGCAGATCTGAAGCTTCCTTTGGTAATCGAAGACCTGAAACTGATGACCACCTCCGAAACTGGTCCGGAAATGTCTCTGGACGTGCTCTTTAGGCTAATCGGGACAATCACCCTTTAAGTTGATCTGTAATGTGAAAAGACCGACGGTATGAATACATCCAGCTGCAGAAAATTGATTGGAAAACCACAGTAGCAACATTATATTTACGATTTCAACACAACATACAACAGACAACAAGAAAGCAGACAGTACTTATTCTCCAAAAGCAGCTTCCTAATTCATGCTGTGCAGGGATCAGTATGCCTGGGTGTAGTAATTAATTTAGAATGCAATATATAATTTACTGGAGACTACCTGAGATCCCTCCAGGCAGAAGATACCATGTTTTCAGGCCAATGCATATCAATATGAACTTGTCAGCTCTATTTACAGCTTTATTAATAAAAAGAATTTAACAATTCAAAGATGAAACAATTAAATATGTATCTATTTTTAATAGGGAATCTCTATATTAGGAAATGCTAATGTCATATCATTAAAAGCTAACAGACAGGTACAAAAATAATTAAAAATGTTAAAAGAATGTTAGTTTTTATCTCAAGAGCATCGGAATGCAAAGGGCTGGAAGTAATGCTACAGTTGTATAAAGTTCTTATTAGAATGCATCTAAAATATATATCCAATTCTGGCTCTGCACTTCAGGAAAGATGTTGTGATCTTAGAGGGTTAGAGTGCAGATTTCTTAGAATGATATCTGGACTGGGTGCACTTACTAGATTTCCATCTGTTGACTTAAATCTTATTGGGGTAGCATTGGAAAGCATGCCCCACTATTCACAGTCATTATAAAAGGTAAAGATTTTATTAAAGTATTTAATATTCCCCAATTTACTTTTTTTTTAGACCAAGCTTAACAGAAATCATGAACCAGTTTTCTGTACTTAACAAGAATTACTATTTATTACAATATTATGGATGGAGGGAAAAGTCTGGGAAGGCAGTTGGATACTCCTTATCCAGCGTTCACTAAGATTATCCTTTTGCTCACGGGGTTTTGATGTCTGTTGATTTCTCTTCTCCAGGTGCTTTTCACTTCCTCGCAGGAGGCACAGACTTTTGGTTCACAGAACATAGTTTCTTAGCTACTGGTTAAAAGCCACAGGTTACAGCAACTGGGGAGTGAAAATAAACTGGCTTACTTCAGGCTTTGGGTATTTTTTACTGCAGAGGGAAAAACACTACTCCCCTTTTTTAGTGCTCCAAAGGCTTTGGGCTATATTGTTCACACTCTCAAGCTGTTCAGCTATTTGGGAACCAATCACATTGTCGTTAGCACACAGAAGGCTTTTGCCATCGACAGCTCTACAGACCAATTAGCTACTTGTTGCCAGCTAAGTCTCATTTGTACACCTTTCCTGGTGCCAGACTATTTGCAATAACCTTCCTCCGCTGAACAAGCAGCAGTGTAAACAACACTTAGAATAAATATTAGTAACTTGTTTTTGAAAAATGCAGCAACTCCTTCCATAATTCTTAGTTTTAAAACAGTCCTTTTACCATTTCAGTCCACAATTCAAATGACAAAAAATAATAGTCTTTACAATATAAAAGATCTAGGGCAATTTAATTTATTATTAAAGATGTTTGCAGGGGTTGATTGGGTTGATAGTTTCTCTCTATCTCCTCAGGTGGGAGAGTCCAAGATCAAAAAAAAGAAGAAATAAAGGGTAATCTTCAAAAATCTGAAACTCTTCTCTCACAAAAAAAGATGTTAGCAGATAGATGGAGCCTAGATGTAGATATGGTATTATGATCATAGGTCAGAACTCCAAAGTACTATGGACGTTTTCTGCAATTCCAAATTGTGTGTGATTTTTTAATGACAGCTGAAATGACCAAAAGTGGCTGCAGATGTAAGTTAATGAGATGTCAGGTGAGAAAGAGAGAGAGAGAGACAGTTAGAATTTCACACCTAAAGGTGCAAAGGGAGCTTCAAGAAATAGCCCTTAAAAGGGGAAAACGGCAAATCAGAATAGGCTGGATTGTGGCCTTTACAAAAATAATGAGGAGCAGATGACTCCTGGTCAACAACAATTCACTCCCTGCAGAGTTTATCCCAAACAGCAGACACATTTTGTATTTTTCCCTTTGGAAAATAAACAAGGACAGGGGTTAAAAAGCCAGATTGAACTCTACTAGTAGGTGTTAGTGGGACTGAAGTTCTTATGTGTGCCAGTGGGTCAAGGTGCCCATATGTACTAACTTGAGTTACAACATTAGTTGTGAAGGTCACATCTGAAGATTTATCCACTCGTTATCCCAGTGTCGCAGGTAAAGGGTAATCTCACTCTTTGTTATCTCAAGAACACAAAGCCATAAGATATAGGAGCAGGATTAGGCCATAAGATATAGGAGCAGGATTAGGCCATAAGATATAGGAGCAGTGTCTGCTCTGCCATTTGATCATGTTTCTAAACCCCATTCTCCTGGCTTCTCCTGTAATCCTTGACCCCTTACTAATCAAGGACCTATCGATTCAGAGATAGTAGGAACTGCAGATGCTGCAGGATCTGAGATAACAATGTGTAGAGCTGGATGAACACAGCAGGCCAAGCAGCATCAGAGGAGCAGGAAAGCTGACGTTTCGGGCCTAGACCTTTCTTCTCCTGCTCCTCTGATGCTGCTTGGCCTGCTGTGTTCATCCAGCTCTACACCTTGTTATCTAAGTACCTATTGATCACTTGTCTTAGATACACTCAATGACTTGGCTTCTGCAGCCTTCTGCAATAATGAGTTCCACAGATTCGCCACTCTCTGGATGAAGAAATTCCTCCCTCATCTCGGTTCTAAAGGGTCATCCTTCACTCTGAGGCTGTGCCCTTGAGTCCTAGTCTCTCCTACTAGTGGAAACATCATCTTCATGTCCACTCTCCAGGAATCTCAGAATTCTGTAAGTTTCAATAAGATCCCTCCACATACTCAATTGAGTACAGACACGGAGTCCTCAACTGCTGCTCATATGACAAACCCTTCACCCAGGGATCATTCCCAGAAATCCTGGTTAAATTGGCTCACATTGAAAAATAAGTTCATTTGGGTCTGGGTGAAAGGTATCCACAAGAGAAGGGATCCATTTTTGATTAACCTTCTTGCAACCATCTGAGCGAACAGATGGGTGAGAAGGGGAACTATTGTCACTCAGGAACTTAATATTTGGGGTATCCCATCTGGAACCATAACAAGTTAGGAAGCCTTGCTTGGAATCTGCTTATAACAATAGGTTGAATGGAATACTACTATTCATAGGTGCCTAAGGTAAAACACTCTTTCAGAAATATATGTTTATGGAGTCCGATGAGTAACAAGTAAATCCACAACTCAAACATTTTGGCACAAGTGCTGGATGTGCCACCCACCTGTGAACTCCAGTGCTAGCCCCACTAAAAAGACACACAGGAACAGGTGTAGGCCATTTTTGCCCCTGTGACTGTTCTACCCTTCACTGTGATTGTGGTTGCGTTGTAACCTATACTGTAGAGTTGGCCCAAAAACAGTATTGCAGTTTCTAGGCTCCACGGTCTTACTCACTGATAGGGTATCTCTGAACGATACCGCATCGAATTTGTTTTGCAAGCCTGGCAGATGGCCAACACGTTATTTTGTTCATGCCTAGTTTTGAACAGCTGGTTTTCATGGCAGGATGCACTGCCTTGTGTGGTATTGGTAAACTTAGCAACATATGAATTCTGTACAGGAACTGATTATATATTTTATTCCCAAACATAAGATTTTTCTTTTCTACTACTTAAGCGTTGTACAAACCGTACATCTGAGAAGTTTGAACAAAATATTTACTATTTGCAAGTCTGAATTCTGCTGTTGTCAATCTTAACTTTGACTGAGTCTACCTCTCCCATGTATGAATTAATGAAATATAAAGGGCCAAAACCATAAAAGGTTAATGAAGTGAAAACAGTGCTTTTGCTTCAGTCCAGCTTGATTACCTAACTTTCATTATATCACACTGCAGTACCAGATTAATTGTTGACTGTAGGGAAATAAGCTGCAGAATACAGTGACTTGCGACACCTGAGATCTTTTCTAATTGAAACTTCTATTTCTCAGTGTCTAGTTGCAAAACAGAATCAGATTTTCTCACGCAGAAGTTCAAATCAAACATTCACCTTTGTCAACGTTCTTCTCACAAATCAAACCATTGAGGTCTGTGCAAAAGAAGTCGTTCCACAATGCACCTGAAGCCAAGCCAGCACAATCTTCAGTTGCTCTTTCGTGTTGCCAATTATCAGGTTGCCCTGGCTTCCAGTTTCTGGAAGACAAAAGTCAAACAAAATGAACGCACAAGCCAAACACAAAGTGAATTCTTTCAATATATGTCAACAGGAGTTAATATAGCTACCTTGTCAAGAATAATATATTTGCCAATGTCTGCCCCTCTTCCGCAGCTACGTTCATGCCCAGGTGATCTTGGAAAGGGAGCACATAGTGTCTACCAATGCTCTCGATGCCTTTAGAGAGACAGGTGGGCACTGCAGGGGGTAGAGTGCCATCCAACTCCATTCTGATTTAATATCCTTCTCTCTCCTTACCTTTTCCCTCACCTTTGGTATTGCATTGCCCTTTCTGGGATTTGCACATAAACTGATTAATTGGAACCACAGGCGATTTAGTGGTTTCAAATAACAGATGAAAATGACCATGGGTGATGTGGTGGTGGGGAAAAAAAAATTTCAGTAATGCATAAAAGCACTTCAGGATTAAAAAAAACAGTATCTGTCTAGGTGAGTTGTCAATTTAATAAAAATGCATTTGAAATATTTGCAAAAGCTGACTGAGGTGGCACTCCTTTGAAAAGAAATGTTAAACACACTTGAAAACTTAACCAGAGGTAAAATCATGCCCTGAAAACCATAGACTGAAGTTTTGGACCCTGCCACCAAGAGGAATGGAGAGAGGCAAGGACCAAGTGTTACAGGACAGGTCAGACAACTGCTTCCTGGTATCAGCCGTTTTGCTGCTGGATTATTCTCTGAAGCTGAGTGGGCTTTGATTGAACCTCCAGCTTTGAACGTCCACCCATTGTTCTTAATAGGATGATTGGTTATAACTCCTGCTCTTGTCAAGTTGGAAAATGGGTAGCACAATGGTTAGCACCAGGGATGCAGGGTCTATTCCACCCTCAGGTGACTGTCTGTGTGGCGCTTGCACATTCTCCTTCGGTCTGTGTAGGTTTCTTCTGGGTGCTCTGGTTTCCTCCCACAGTCCAAAGATGTGCAGGTTAGGTGGATTGGCCATGGGAAAGGCAGGGCTATAGGGTAGGGTGGGATGTTCTTCAGTGAGTTGGTGTGGACTCAATGGGCCAAATGGCCTCCTTCCACACTTTAGAGATTCTATGAAAAGGGATTCAAATCAAGGAGCTGGTTCTCAATCTGGTCACCTGTACATGCACTATTTTTCCAATCGCTAATGCCATTAATCTATATCTTGGGCACTCTCTGCGAGCACCTCCGATCTGCTCCCGATTCCATCTGACTTGCTTGCTGTCTCCCACCTATCGCTTTCATTGCTTCTCTTTGCATCACCCCACTCACTCTTGCTTCCCCATGTTACTGAGGCTTTTTACTGTTTCCTTTGTCACTTGCTTGCTTCATTCCACTGCCTCCCACTTCCCTCTTGCTCCCTTTAATGCTATTTCATCCCTATCCCTCTCAAAGCCCCTCATTATTCACTTCTCTTGGCCCCTCCTTGCGTCCATTCTGGAAAGCGATTTTAAAAAAAAATGTCAAGGGTCTGCTGGAGTAAGCAAGAGAGAAACCAAGTCACTTTTGTAAGTCATCACTGTCTTATAATGTTGGGAACCATTCTGCATCTTTCACTTTAATAGGATCAGATCTATTATCAACTGATCAGCACGTTTATCCAAATAAATTGATTTTGTCTCTTGTTGATTTGACATTTGTTACTGCTGAAAATCTGACCATGTTTCCTTTTTTGCTTTTGGAGATTTGTGCCATGCTCATTGGTTAGTTCTTCCAAGAACTACAGTCTCTGTTGCGATACAGAGATAAACTGGGTGAACGCTTCATCTGTATGTTGTAGGAATATGTTCTGGTTTACAGATAATCTAGATGGTAATCCGAGGAAGTAGTATATACAGAAAGAAATTCTAAATGCTGTTCCCGTGAGTCTGTGGAAAAATGTACAGACCAATATCAATTCTTGGCATCAAGCTTGGAAAAATGCATGACACCTGAGAACTTCAGTCTTAAGTTTTTCCAGCATACAACTGTTGTCTGGATGTATTTTTATTGATTGTTTAGTTACCATGGGTCTAACTCTATATGTATATTGCCACCTTTCTTCAAAGCACAACTAATGGAATTGCACAAATCACTGCTCAACTTTCTGGATGATGGTATTTTGTACCGCGGAATCTAACTCCAATTTGAATTTTTCTTGAATGTAAATGCTGAACTTCCAGGAAAGTTCAATGTCTGGGGGTGGAAGGAGGGTGGGGAGAGGTGGTTGGGCATCATCTTTCAGATATGACAGAGCATCACCTTTAAAATTTCAAATGGCATCAAATCTGTTTGGGTAAAGGTTACTCAACTAAGGCACAAATTCAATGCTGCAGTCAGGAATCTTTGATGACAGATTTGTCATATTGTGGATTATGATAATATGTAGATTTATGAATGAACACAAACCAAAAGGTAAAGTGTGGTCCATCAGTTTCAACAATTTAAAAGTTTACAGGTGACCATCCTGAGGTATTGCCATTTAAGGCAGGTAATGCCAAAGCAAGGGGTATCAGACTCATCGTAAACAATTAGCTGAACGTGTGGATTGCACCATGCTTGGCCAGTTTCAATAGATTTAAGATGTGTTTATGAATGATATTTGCATCAGTGTGTGTCAATCTTGGCATATAGTGCATCTTGTCTATTCCTTTTGGGATATTACTTAGATGGAAGTGAAGCCTTTAACTTTTCTGATAGCGTCCATGTAATGTGTTAAGTTTACCACATGTACTGTCTGGGACCTGTAAGTTGTAACATCGCAGTTACTTCCTTGACTCTGCTGACATGCTTATATGTCACTTTAGAAGCTTCTCTGGTATTGTTCCTTAGAGTTCTTGTTTTCATGTTGTGTTATGCTATAAGACCATAACAGCAGAAGTAGATCATTTGGCAAATCAAGTCTGCCCTGCCAATCAGTAAGATCATGGTTGACTCCATGAATCAATTCCACTTTCCTACCTTTTCCCCATACCCTTGATTCCCTTACTGGTTAAAAATATGTCTATCTCAGTCTCAAACATCCTAAGCAAAACAACCTCTACAGTCCTCTGTGGTAAAGAATTCCACCAATTCACTGCCCTCTGAGAGAAAAAATCCTCCTCATCTCTTAAAATGGGGGATCCTTTATTCTGAGATTACGCCTTCTGGTCCTAATCTCTCTCACAAGGGGAAAACAGCCTTGCCATATTTACTCTGTTGAGACACTTTAGAATCTTTGTTTCAATCAGTCCTCTAAACACCAATGAATACAGGTCCAACCTACTCAACCTCTTCTCCAAAGAAAATCCCTCCATACCTGGGATCAAACTAGTAAACCTTCTCTGGACTGCCTCCACTGCCAATATATCTTTCCTTAGATAAGGGAACCAAGAATGTTCACAGTATTCTAGGTGTGGTTGCACCAGTGTAGAGTTTTAGTAAGATTTCCTATTTTTATTCTCCATTCTCAGGAAAGGCCAATAAAGGTCAACATTCCAATTGCCCTCCCTCCTTGCTTATTCCCAACTGAACTTGGGTCCCAGCCTTTTGTGATTCATGCATGAGGACTCCCAAAATGCTCTGTACTACAGTTTTTTTTGCGGTCTTTCTAAATTGAAATAATATTCAGCTCCTCTGTCTTAAAATGCCAAACCTCACATTTTTCCACGTTACGTTGAATTTGCCAAGTTTTTGCTCACTCTTGTCTATATCTCTTTGTAGTCTCTTCGTGTTATCTTCACCACTTTCTTTTCTACCTACTTTAGTGTCATCTGCAAACTTGACTATATAACATTTACTTTCCTTATCCAAGTCATTAACATATATTGCAAATAAATGTAGCTTCAGCACTGATCCCTGTACTCTTGTTGCAGGTTGCTGTCTTGAAAATGTACCTCTTATCCCAACTCTCTGTCTTCTACTAGTTAGCCAATCCTCTATCCACATTAATATAACACCATGAGCTCATCTTATTAAGTAAACTTATTGAATGTAATCCAAATATATTAAATCCACTCATTCCTTTTTATCAAACCTGCTTGCTACTTTCTCAAAGAATTCTAATAAGTTTGTCATACACAATTTCCCTTTCAAGAAGCCATGCTGGCTCTATTTAATTCAATTATACATTTCTAACTGCTCTGCTATTACATCCTTTATAATGCTCTAATGTTTTTGCATGGTAGACATTAAGATAACTGACATGAAGCTTATATTTTATCTCCTTTCCTTTTGGAATAAAGGTATTGCATTGGCAGTTTCCTAATCCTTTGGATGATATCAGAATCTAAAGATTATTGAAAGATTACTACTAGTTCATCCACTATGTCTGTAGCTGCTTATCTTAGAATTGTAGATTATAACCTATCAGGTCCAGGGATGATGTTTCCTCTAAGCTGCCTGGCTGCACACACACGCAGTTGCTCCGAAGTTCTGAGCACGGTGATCAGCATCGGCATGGCGACTGTGGTATTAACTTCTGGTTTTGGACGTCACTGTCACACCCAGGCCTCTGAGGCTGTGCAGCCAATAAGAAAACTGGTGGAAATGCTACCCAGGGAGTTATAGGCCTTTAGCCCTGTCAGGTTCTCTAGCACTTTTTCTGTCACAATGGTTATTTTGTTTATTTCCTTCCTTTTGTTCCTTGATTTCATATTTTAAGAATGCTATTAATGTGAAGACTGATGAAAATTATTTATTCAACTTCTATCATTTTCCAGTTCCCCATTATTATTTTTCCAGCCTCATTCTGAGGTGCCTATCTTCATTTTGGCATCTTTCTTTCTTTTCATATATTTAAAGACACTCTATCTATCTTTTTTAGATTACTTGCTATTAGTTTTTATATAACTTGCTAGTCTACCCTCAAGTTATTTGCTGTCTCTTTCTTTTTAGTCATCTTTTATTGGTTCTTCAACTTTCCAAATCCTCTTTCTTATCATTAATCCTTGCCACATTGTGTATTGTCTCTTTCAATTTGATACTATCCGTAAGTTTCTTCGTTAACTACAGTTGGTTTATCCCTTCCTAG